ACTGAAAAAAACTGATTTTTTTTTTTTACTAAAAACTGAAAAAAACAAAAATATTTTTTTTCCCCATTTTTTACAAAAAATACTGCTTAAAAAAAACTGAAAAATATTTTTTAAAACAATGCTTTTGTAAAAACTGGATAACAAAACTGAAAAATAATTTTCTAAAGCAATTAAAAACTGAAAAAAACAAAAATATTTTTTTTCCCCATTTTTTACAAAAAATACTGCTTAAAAAAAACTGAAAAATAATTTTCTAAAGCAATTAAAAACTGAAAAAACTGATTTTTTAACTAAAAACAAACAAAAAAAAGAAAATATTTGTTTTTTCAGTTTTTACAAAAATATTGCTTTAGAAAATTGCTTTAGAAATTATTTTTCAGTTTTTTTTAAAGCAATATTTTTCTAAAAACTGGAAAAAAATATTTTCGATTTTTTCAGTTTAGTATAAAAAACCCAGTTTTTTCCCGTTTTTAATTGCTTTAGAAAATTATTTTTCAGTTTTTACAAAAATATTGCTTTAGAAAATTATTTTTCAGTTTTTACAAAAATATTGTTTTAGAAAGTATTTTTCAGTTTTTTTAAAAGCAGAATTTTTTGTAAAAAATGAAAAAAAAAATATTTTCGTTTTTTTCAGTTTTTAGTAAAAACAAAAATCAGTTTTTTCCAGTTTTTACAAAAAATAAAATTGCTTTATAAAATTATTTTTCGGGTATGAATAATGAGTATTTTTAATTAATTAGGAGATATTTAGAATTGGCCAATAAGACAATGACACGTGTCCCTCCGTTTAAATGAGGGGTATACTTGAACCCAAAGTATGACTGCAGGGGTATAGATAACCCAATAGTATAACGAGTGGTATTGTTAGACCATTTTCGAAAGTACAGGGATATATTTAGACCTTCTCCCATTTAAAATTGACGATTAAACATGTTATACATGAAACTGATTTTTCAGGTTTGATGATTTAATCAAGCAAAAAAGAAAATAAGAACAAATTAAATAAAAACGTTAATGATATTTCATTCTAAAACAAGAGTTTCTTTCTTTGGTTGAAAAGATAAGAAATAACATAAGACACAATATTTTATTATTGGAAGCCAAATGTCTAGAACTATCAAGTTTAAAATGTCTTTTTTGTGGCGAGTAGGTCGTGGGTGCAGATAGAAGATGTTGCATATGGCCGGAAAGGGGCTGGCTAGATCAGATCATAGAATTACAGTGGTTTACTTTTAAGGCAATAGAAAAGATTATTGTTGCTGCCCTGGACGAGGACGACCAGAGGCGGACCTACATTGTGGGTTGAGGGGTCACGGGACCCGTTAGCCTCGGCAAAAAAACTATATATATATGTTATATATATCTGTCCATATATATGGGACCCCTTAAATATTTAAAATGTGCCCCCAAACATAAAAAGGTGGATGAAGAAGTGGTTGTATTGGGCATTTAACTTTACTCCCTGTCTTGATGAAGAGGGTTCGAAACCCCTCTTCACCCTTTTCTCCTTTTTGTCTTCGTTCTTGGAATACAACCGTTTTTAGACTTAATAGCAAATTGCTTTAATTTTAACTTTTATCTTTCTTTTGAATTCAACTATAATTTAGTACTAATACATAATAATCAACTTAATTAGTTTTATTCTCTTTCAAATCCCTACCTTAAAATTAAAAGCCTCAAATTGTAACTTACCTCTCCACAAATAGAAACATACAAATCCTTGTTCAACAATCACTTTGACTCCGACTAGGCAATGGCAACTAAAAGTTTGAAACTCTTCTTCGGTTCTTTGACTATTAACATACCCATATTCTTTATTTCTTTAGTAATTTTTGATAATTTAAACATACCTTTTTTTTAATTAAAATACTAGAAATTTAAAGTGTGAAACATGCTTAATCAAACACCTTTCCTTTCCATAGCATTCATTTTGCGAAGGAATCTCTCATTGTTCAGTACTTTCTGTTTCTTTAGAACTTCTTTTTATTTATACTTGAACGATAAGTCATCATAACATTAAGTTTTCAAAGAGTTGCAGCCGAATTTAATTTATCGCTAGTGATTAGCATACAGTGGTGCACCCGTTGTGTTCAAATCCTGGGTCCGCCTCTGAGGACGACCCAATATAGACGAGCAATAAGCATTAATTAAACTCTTACACTGATGCCAGCGGAACCTCTTAATTACATGTTTTAATCTTATTTATACCCTTGAAATATGATTTTTACATATCTTTTCAGAACTTGGCCAATATATTAATGTGTACTTGTGACTCCATATATAAGCTAACTAAAATGTTTCCTATACTCCGTTAACAAGATATATACACTATGAGTTATTTTAACAAGTCATTAATTTGTACCAAACGATATAAAACGTGACAATGCTAAGATGCTTTAGTTTGAAAATGTAGAATTATAGCGGGTCTAACTTTTAAGGCAGTAGAAAAGTTTGTCGCGGCAACATTTACAAGGAAGATATATAAACGCTGCTGAAGAACACGAGAAATCGAGTGTTTATCACTGTGTAAATACAATAGGAATGTAATTCTTATCTATTTGCGTTTAGGATAAACCAATTGAGCTTTCTGGAAAGAAATCCAAGCTAAGATTATTGATTGTAGGGTTTCCTGTCTTGATACTTTCAATATTGTTCAAGCATTTGCATTTATGTAGACAATTATACACTCGAGAAAGGTTCAATGATATGCTTAATTAGAGACATTAGGCCTTTCAGTTGAAGCCAATAAAACTCCTAGTTAAGTTGTCTTTATCCACTTAGGGTCCAAGCAAATTTCTTCGGCAAAGTTATAATTTTGTTCATTAGTAGTAAAGAACTTTTTGTATTTGACAGAAATTGATTTTATCGTTTTGTTCCTCTACCCTGTTATTTTGGAAACATGTCAATCCAATTCTAATCTCTCGAAAACATTAAGAAAAAGACATTACTTTGAATTTTACCTTGGGTTTTATATTTATATTTAGATTGATTACATTATTATTATCTATATAATAATTCAATATATATGTGTTTTACATGAACCCGGAACCAAAGTGTTGCTTTTTTGGACTCAAAGCACAAAAATAGGTGAAAACAATTCGAGGACCAATTTATATATAACGCAGGTCTTCAGTGCGCTATACCTTAACAACACGTTTGTCCGTTAAGGTATAACTCATGGGTTGCATGCGCTATATTTGAATTTTAAATTGGCGGGCAAAATATATATAGCGCATATACATGATGCGCTATACCAGAAGTTGAAAAGACAGGTAGGTATAGCGCATCCTATATATGTTCTATACATATATAAAATATCGGGCCAGTCTTCTTCCCCCACTAGACAGAACCNTCTCCGTATTTTAGCAAGCTAACACCGGATCCAAAGCGTTGTCGTGTAGTGTATCTCGTCTATTTCTCGTTTCGGCTCCTAAATTATCAATTTTTCACATTTAAAAAAACTTAAAATCGAGATATTCCGACTTACTTTTTGGTAAAACTCATATATATATATAATGCTTATTAGTTATTTTTACTGTGTTGTATATTTTTTTGTGATCGTTTGTGATATAATTAATTTTTTTGTTTTCTATCCGAAGTAGTTTATTTATGTGCTAAAAATTAGTAATAATATATATTGTTATTTTATGAATAATTATTGTTATATGTGATTTTATTGTTGTACGTATATTAATATGTGACTTTATTATTGTTTAATGCCCTTTAGTATATGTTGTGCCCTTTAGCGTAGTAAAACTGATAATAAATTTTAGCTTATGGTAGTTGACTTTGTTTATGGCCATTTAGAGTAGTGCTACTTTAGTGCGCTTTAGATTCCATAGTGTAGAATAAAAACTACATGTTCTCTTTAATAAACTCGGTTAGAGTACTCAATTATGAATTTAATGTATTAATAGATAATGATCAAATATTAGATATGAATCATAAAATAACCAGTTGACGTTACAAAAGAGACGCTGCCGGAAAATTTGGGCAAAATATGACAGTTGACAAACAAATCATTACAAATGAAATAAATTCAATATTATTTACTATTAAGTTTGTAGTATTTTTTATATGAATAATTATTGAATATATCTTGATTACTTATAAAATTTTAATATTTAATTCTGTTATAATTCAAAAAAAACTTAAAAAGATGAAAGTTCAAACAAAACTCTGTAGAATTTTTATGAAAAAATGTAGGAAACTAATATATGAAATATTAATATAGGAAATTTATCAACCTAAATATTTGTTATATGAATAATTACTAAAATATATTTTTAGTTATTAAAATTAATTATTTAATTCTCTGTAAACCCCAAAAATATCTGAAAAAAGATGATAGTTCAAAAAGAAATACTCTCGAATTTTAGTAAAAAAAAAATAAGAAAATAACATATAAAACAACAATATACAAAAATTTATCAAACTAAGTATTTTTATATGAATACTTATTAATTATATCATGTATAGTTATGAAAATTAATTGTTTAATTCTATTATACTCAAAAATAGCTGAAAAAGATGATAGTGCAAACAAAACCCTGCTGAGTTTTAGTCAAAAAATGTAAGAAACTAACATGTAAAATAATAATATAGAAAATGTATCAACCTAAGTAATAATATAAAAAAATTATCGATTAAATATTAATATAAAAGATATTATAATTTATTTAAAGATGTTAAACAATTAAACAGAAAAATACTTTAATTAATATTTTTCAATTTACAGATAGTGTCATGGAGCTTCCCCCTGTGTATCCCGGACCTGCATCTCGAGAGTTACTATTTCTCCAGGGCAACCATAGGTCTTCACACATCTGGGATGGGCAGTGTCTGTCCCAGACCTTTACCCCAGATGTATAGACGATCTGTGGGAGTTTATTAGGGACCACCCGATGCATCCCCGTATAGTTAGACGCCTTCAGAGAATGGGTTTTTACAAGATCATAAAGATCGGACGGTTGTAGTTCGACTGGGCACTGATTACGGCTATGATAGAGCGGTGGCGATCGGAGACGCACACGTTTCATCTACCCATCGGCGAGGCTACCATAACACTAGAGGATATGGAGGTTCTTTTCGAGCTGCCCGTTGATGGTATACATGCAGCTTACCCGCATGCTCTCATAGACTATACGGGAGAGGATTACCTTCATATGTTGCAGTGGCTCACCGATTTCCAGCCTGCGGAGCCGACTACGTTGAGTGAGGCTTGTCGATTGCAGCTGACGCCCGTTAGGCAACATCTGGTGGCGATGGACGTGGAGATTACTGATGATTCACCGCCAGAGGATATCGACCGGCACATGAGGCTGTTGCTGCTGATGATGCTTGGTGGTATATTGTTCCCGAACACTTCGAGAAACCTAGTCAGCTTGCTATTTCTACATCATCTGGAGCGGTTAGATGATTTATCTGGTTATAGCTGGGGTGCAACTGTTCTAGCTTACCTGTATAGGCAGATATGCCAGGCGTGCATGGAAAACCAGAGAGACGTTGCCGGTTTTATACCGTTACTGCAGGTGAAAACATAGTTAATTCTTTTCATAATTATAACATACATAGTAAAAAATGCCTTAAATTTTACGTCTATAATCTTTATTAGGTTTGGGTATGGGAGGGGTTTCTACAGTTCCAGCCACCTCTGCCACCGATAACTCCGGATACACCACCTCCACCATTTCTCCCGCTAGCTTGGAGGTGGGTTGATAGGCGAGGCCATGCCCGCAAGGTCGAGGCTCGGCATAATCTCCCTTAGTACAGGGATTTGTTGGATTTACTTGAAGGCGTTCAGGTATATATATACTTAACTTTACTTGGCCTGGCTTGATATGTGTTGCGTTTACTCACGATTCTTGTGTTTAATAAATAGTTTGTATGGAGGCCATACAACGATGCACTCATAGTTGGATTGCCAGATTATTGCTCCCACGGTCGAGCTATGTGGAGCTCTTCCGTACCACTGATATGTCTCGATATAGTTGAGCATCATGCCACCGAGTGAGTCCTTCTCCAGTTTGATCGATCCCAACTTGTACCTATTCCGCCCACTTGGCACATAACACATTACCAGCAAGATGATCGCAGCAAGGTCGACTAGACATACTTGGCCTGGCTAGAGGCCCAGATTGAGGATTGGGACCAGAGGTATGGCATGATTCCGCCATACCATTCACATGACCGTTTGGAGGGCGAGCATGAGTACATGGGTTGGTATCGCAGCGTTACCCGACTTCTCGTCGGGAATCCTTTTCATTGCGCTAGCCGTCGGTACATTCCATACGCCGGGAGGCATGAGGCACTGGTATGTTATTTGTTATACTTTCTTATAATGTTACATTATTCTTCCGTAATTAATATTTTATATGCTTTGCAGGCTATTGGCTTACACCAGTTCTACCAGTTGGGACTGGAGATGCTACAACATACAGGCGGGGGAGTGGTAGTTGTGCACGTGTTTGGCCATCCGATTACTAATCTTGCTGCTAACACATTGAGACGTGCTCGATAGGATGGGCGCTAAGGATACGAGGCTGCTTATGTGCCGCCAGAGGAGTACAATCATAGGCCACAAGTAGTCCCTGAACGTGGTAGACGTGGCAGGCGTGGCCAGAGAGGAAGGGGTGGCCCACGTGGTCATGGTGGTTAGCAAGGATGTGGTCCCCAGCAAGGGGGTGATGAGGCACCTGTGGAGGATATTAGAGATGATCAGTCGGGTGACCACCCTGAGCCACATGATTCTCCTCATGATATGCCTTCATTTAGCCTTCAACTGTCACCAGGGACTTCACAGGTGACCCCGCCAACTCCATTGTTGATCGCGGGCACGACCATTACGCAGTAGGAGTGGGATCAGTATTTTCCTGATCGTCCAAAGCCATCGATGGTTGCTGCTGATCGTCCGATATGAGAGGTGCATAGTGTGCGACAACTGAGTTATGGCTCATCACCGAGGGATGCTGAGGATCTTTCACATACTTCATCTACTCCAGTGCACCTCGATGTTTCGACCGAGCATTGTGTCGCTACTCAGGCGCATGTATTGTATTACTATTATTTCAATTTGTTTTTCCCTTATAGATTAGTCAGTAATATCTAAAGTGTTTTTATATTTTTAAAGATTTCATCATCGCCCGTCACTGAGGCCGCATTGTGCGATACTAACTTGCTGGAGACGGATGATCTTATTCTAGATCCCGCTGAGATCACGGTATGACCATTAAATATTTTTGCTAACACGTACGTTAGTATTATATATTTCATATACTAAAATATCTTCTTATTCTGTAGGTTACTGATGGCCTAAAGGCCGCTTCTACCGAGCCTGCCAGCCTTACTGACAATCATGCTGCAACGTATCCTTTGATAAAGAGGCAACGTGATGAGGATGATCCTGATAGCGTAGCCGGGTGGGATGAGATGTGCCTCAGGACAACCAATGCTTTAAAGCATACAGGCTGTGAGACTCATTGATATGTATTCTGAGTTGTGTATATGACATTAAATATATAATACAAAATTATTGATGTTTTACATAATTTGCGCATGTATTTTTATTTTTCAGGTTATTTATTAGTTTAACACTATAACACAAAAAAAATAAGACAACTTAACATAAATTTAAATTCGTTAACAATTAAAGATAATACATGACACGTATAACATAAAAATAAAAAACTACACTAAACGCATCCATGTGTTTGTTTAGTCACTATCGCCCATTATTCTATGCTTCAACCACTTAAATTTTTCTTCCAACCGATTATTTTCTTCTTCTGCCTCTTTTAGTTTCTCCTTCACTGCCGCAAGTTATTCTTGCAACTTCAAGATTTGAAGTTCGTACTCACCGGTCAGATTCTAAATGTTTAGCAAACATGATTTGTGGTATTCCTGGTTAATGGGTTCATCATACCATTCTTCAAAACCACATTGATTTTCATCCCACCAATGGGGATGATAACAAAAGACTATTAATTAGCATGTTATATAAAAACTATTAACAAATATTTTTTTCAATAATAATAACCTACAGCTTATTTACACATCCAACGTATGCGCCCCAGATTGCAACTTGACCAACATGGCTTCAAAATCGCACGTTTGCCACAGTAACACCTTGGTACGTCATTGCATCCAGACATGTCGTAATGATCGAAAATGAAAATTAATGGAAAGTTATTTTCTTCATTTTGTTACAACGCAAATAATAACTAAAATGCACGAGGTTTTTATAGGAAGCTAAGAGTGATTTTAGGTTACATAACGCATATCGGTGATGCACTACGTATCGCGTGCTAATGATTCTTTCGCATGCTAATAATTCTTCAGGGTACAAATGGGTGCAGCTTTTCAGGTCGATAACCTTTTCAGGTCGACATGATAATACACATAACACATATTGGTGATACGCTACATTTCGCGTGCTAATGATTCTTTAGGGTACAAGTGGGTGCATCTTTTCAGATCGACAACTTTTTTAGGTAAGCAGCTTTTTTAGGTCGACGGCTTTTTCAGGTCGACATGATAATACACGTAGCGCATATTGATGATGCGCCACGTTTAATATACAAGTTCGTGCAGTTTAGTTCTTCTTAAGTTGAACCAATATTGTAGTATTTAAAGACCATTTCAACAACCATTACAACATCCATTTCAGAAATGCCACTAACATTTAACAAGTCATTTAAGAAGAGGCAAAAAGGTAAAGGTAGTTCAACAGATCCACATGGAACACGTGATAACACAATCGATCCCTACCTTGAAAATAATATGCTAGGTTGCTATACTGATTTGGTTGATGACAAGTGGTATGGTGTTCTACGTCCCTTGAAAAATAAGCCTATCAATATACACACTGATCTCAAAGTTGCAAGGCACATTATTAAGGGCAAAGCACATTCTACAAAGCCTGAAGTATGCGAATTTGGGCAAAAAACTACAATGGGTTCCCCTTTACTCAAAACGGTGTGATTATGAAGTACTATACCGCTGGCATGGGCTAGTTGTACCACAAGCACTCCCTACAACCTTCCAAACAAATACACACAAAGATGAACCAGAAATGATTCGGCATTTGATGAAGGAGATTTTAGAGCTGAAAAAGGCACTAGCCGTTCATCATGCACTGGATTATCTTAACTACCTACAAGGAACGGAGGATCAGTATTGAGATTTATTAGAAAATGAAAAATTACATAGAGACATTGATTATCCTGTTTTTCCAACAGTTATCGAGTGGGAGGGACTACCTAAGTTTCTACTGCAGAAGTTGGACGTATGAGTCCCATATTGTTTTAGAAATCAAGTGGTCTTATTGATGATAGCGATGAAATACGAGAAATGTGTGTCAACTGGGGCCTAGATTACGATGCCCTCGGTCCGGAAGGGTGCATACAAGATGTTGACGAAGAAGATGAAGACAATGACAATGAAATAGTGTCAAACAATGACGATAATGACGAATGAAAATTGTTATTTATTTTTTAGGGAATATTTTACATTATTGTATTTAATCTTTAATGCTAAATATCAATTAGATTTAACCCTATTGGAAACATAATTTTATTTCACAAATTTTGCAAACTGAACCTTTACAGACATTTAGTACAAAAAAAAAAAAACTGCAACAAAACACTACGTTTATTCTTGATAATTGGGCACATTGGATGAACTGCCACCTGGAGCTGAATTACTACCGCTTCCCAAGCCAGCCGAAGGACATTTACAGCGATCGTGACCTGTTTGGGAATATATGCCACATTTACGCGCATAAACGGTATCACCAACATCCATTTGGTTCCATATCCGCATTCTTTTTTGCACTTGCCGTTACACATATAATCCTTATTACACACCATTTTAAATGGTTTTGGTGGCCAATAATGCTCAGCACCCACTGGCTGCAACTGTCCACTATAGGTATTTACGTATGCAATAACACTATATTCTTTAACAACGTACCTCGTTGCTGCAAAACCTGTATGTTGAAAGTACTTCATGGCATGTGAGCATGGCAAGTATAGATTGACCATTTACCACACGAGGATAATCTTCTGGATTCATTGACGGTGTGTGTATTATTCCTACGGTTTTGATGTAGACTAATGCGAACTTCAAAAATATTTCGCTCGCCTCTATACCGCAAAAATGTATGCCACTGTGTTCGCTTCTTATATTTTTCAAATCGTTTTATTGGGTGTGACATAAATTCAACACCCCTTTCCATCAATGATGATGCACCTCTAGATCTTTCAACAAACCTCTCCGCCATCTTCTTGAATGATATTCGCACCATGGCAGTGACATGCAATCCACGTGCAGACTTCAACAACCCGTTGAAAGACTTTGATACATTTGTAGTAAAAAATTCCCCATCTTCTACCATCATCCTTATGCAAAGTCCACTTGTCAAACTCATGTCGCATCAACCAACGATAGGCTTCTCGGTCTTCCTGCCTAATAAATTTCATTCGCCTCCTGAATTTACACTCTTGGTGATCTGTTGCATCCATCCACATTAAATAATGTAAGTTCTTGTTCGGATGAGCCCTCTGGAAGTTGGCCTTCAAGTGCCTAACACAGTAACAGTGGTAGGCATACGGTTCCTGCAATACACGCAAATTCTGTACAGAACTTAAAATACCACCATGCTGATAAGATATTAGACAAATACCTGAACGCTGTCTCACAACGTGCTCCTTCAAGTGGTTTAAAAATAATGTCCGCGTCTCTTGGCTTTCATTGGCACAAATAGCAAAT